TTCCCCCGGCCCCATACCCTAAAGTTAATTCTTTGTGTTTGTTTTTCTTTCTTCCTTTTATCTTCACATGACAAAAAAAAAAAACCCCTTCATTCATTCTTTGGTTTTTTGTCATGTTCGTTCTCGCTTCCCTTCCCACTTTTAGACTCTCCGTTTCCGTTGAGTTTCTTTATGTTTTTTTTTTTTGTCCCTTTTTTTTTTGAATTCTGTTCTCCCTTTTTTCTCCCCAGGTTTTTGGATTCTCTTCGACTCCCACCATCATCAAGATCTTTTTTGGGGGTTTTTTTTGTGTGTTCTTCCCATCCGCCCCTTAGCCTCCATTCCTCTTCGTGACTTTTCAAAAACTTCTTGCCCGCTTTTGAACCCTCCAACATCTTCATCAGTATCTTTTGCCCCCCAGCAAGAAATACCACAGCAAAACCTTCCACACAGGCCCCATCCCCCTTCTTTCACTTCCAACCTCCGCGCTTTTTCCAATATGCTCGAGGAATTTGCAAAGGGCTCGTTCTTGAATGGCATTGACCATTCAAAAAAACATTTCCAACATACCAATTAACAAAACGTGGACACTCTGGGAAATCATTGATTTGAAGACATTTCTTCTTAACGAACCAATGATATTAGTGGTGGGATCAGAGGATTGTTTAAATGTTCTCAGATCACTTACTATTGTCATACGTTCCTTCAAGCTTTGAACCATTTATTTATTTCCATTTAATTCAATCACCCAAATCAATAAATCGATCTATCTATATGTTAAATGTTTCTCTCGTCACAGTTACGCCCTCTCTTTTCTAATTTCTCACTCACAACGCAAAAACAATGCGCTACCTCACTTGCAACGCCGAGACAGCAATAGCCATCTGGCCACCCTCACTCCCCCAAGAGGAACAAAAAACAGCCCACAAAGCCAAACAGGCACCACACCGTGCAACAATTTCGCTAATCCGGACATCCCGCCGCCACGAAACGCTTTCTCCGACGACACCTTCTTAGTCAAAGGCAAGCCACGGGCAGACAAGAGTCAGAGTCTACAAAGGCCACCCCTCACCGCCGGCGCGGCTTCATCGCTTGCCCGGTCAAAAACAAAAAACCACCCTTCTAAGAGATAGCACTTCTCTCCCACCTCCAAATGCCCGGCGCTTGGTCAACCTACCTACTGGGCTTCGCAAACGACCCGAAAACTAACTGCCACAATAACAAACTCATTGTTGTGGGAAGTATAAGCCAACGGTTCGCTCCACGACCTTCTTCCACTCCACCAAAACGTTTGGGCCCTACCGGTTGGAACAGCCCGTTGTCCGTGTTCGCGGTTCACGTCGCAACAAAGGCTATGTTTGTTCTTTTTGTTTTGTTTTTTGGCACAGTCGTCTGAAACCTTCCCGTTATTCACCGTGATATTAAATCGTCCAACGTGTTAATCGACGATAAGTGGAAAGCGCGACTCGGTGACTTCGGACTCGCGTTTCGAGGACACATGGCGGATTCTCGCGTGCCGCCAGCGGGGACGTTAGGGTACCTCGACCCGTGCTATCTTGCGCCGGGGGACTTGAGTCCCAAGAGCGATGTCTTCAGTTTTGGAATCTTGCTGCTGGAGATAGCGAGTGGGAGGCAAACGCGATGACGTGGAGGCACCAGTCCGCGTCCGGTGTTGATTGGCGTGCCGTGGTTCCGCCAGTGGGGCCAGTTCCGGATATTTGCGGACCCCCCGGCGCGGGGTGCCGGACGAACATGGAGTGGGCGTTTTTCCGCGTGAATGATCGGGATGATGGTGCTAGCCGCGAGGTGTGTTGTGACGTCAAACGACGGAGCGTCGGCGGACGATTTTTTGCGGAGGGTTGGGTTGGGAGTGTCTGACGGCGGTTTTTTAAGAAGAAATTTGGAGGCATCGGGCTGGTTGGTGTGGATGAAATGATACGGCTCGCGTGGTGAAGGCGGCGTTGGCGATGATGGGACCAAGGAGTGGGGTTTGTGGCGATAGTTAACAGGGCGGGCGTAGACGAGTAGACCGGAAATGGGTGGAAGGAATCTACATGTTGGGTGTACAGTTATGAGAATGGACCCCGAAAAATCACACGGGTAGGTCAGATCCGTTGGGTTTGGTTTTTTCGGGGATGTGAAAAATTAACTCGGTTATGGGAAACAGGTACCCTAACCAATTCGGGTTCGGGTATAGGAAGGTAAGGCTAAAGAGATCGATGTCTATGGGGCTTTTGAAACATTATGGTAATGAATCAAATACGTGTCATGAGAGGCATAACGATACTCATAACAATGATTACGTTAGAGTGAGTTCCACAGAGATGGAACTTTCAAAGTTGGGTATTGTGGATAAGAATTTGGACTAGAGAATCGAAGTAACTGAGTAGCATATATTGCTTTTGTGATTGAGTTTTTGATACACATGCATGGGAAGAGGGTTACCCAGAAACGATTTGGTGCATGTGGATACCACTAACACTTTAGCATCTTACTTGTCAACAGAAAAGAAATTGCTGACCTAGTCATATTAATAATAATATTCTTGATTTTGATGTCGAGGTTGTTTTTCATTTCTTACTTTGCAAATGTGTTCTTTTCCAAATTATTATAGACCAAGAAACAAAGTAACTCTCTTCTTAATCCAGCAAGAACATAATGAATATACATACATATCACACCAACATCTCAATATAATCCAACCAGAACACTTAAATACCGTATATCACGATTACTCATGATATGCGCATATAGTGAGGGCCATGAAAGATGCGAGTGACCGACATGAGGCAACATAAACAAGATCACGACCACAAAATGAAAGAGAAACAGTGGAGCATGTCTAGCAATGACAGGCAACAAGCATAGAGCATTTAAAGCTAGATTGATTGTCTTGTGGGAAAATATAACACCCAGAAACATGTGGTTGTTATACAGTAACTGTACAGAGTCGTGAGTGTTTGGATGATATCTCTTGTTCCCTTTCCTACGGGGCTGTTATGTAGTGCTGCGTGCATTTAATGCATTTTGGATCCTTATGAACTGTCCCAACACAGAATAAGAGGTTTTTTTATTTTATTTATTCACATTTCTCTCCATTAGTGTTCAGAAGCTCAGATCCACTTAGAGTCTACGGCAAAGGTAAATCGATCATTCATTTATTACAACAGGTTTTGGTTTGCATTTACCAACATTTGTCTTAGGTTGTCTAACTATCTATACTTTGTATTAATTAGTGAGACAATATTTTTGTGTAAAGGTCCATAAAAACTTACCACTATACAATCCCTTACACTTGATATGAAAAGGTTGGTAAAAAGCCTAACGTCATAAAAACAATCCAGTCTTAGATTGTTGAAACAAACGAGAATTAAAAACTTACATTTAAAGTCTAATTCAACTAATTTTATAGAGTAAATTCATCTCAGTTTTTTAGTGATTGTGTGATCTTTAAATACCCTCACGTCCAAAGTGAGCTTCGCACATCTAGTTATATATTTAAAATTTGTTTTATCTTTAATTAATTTAGAATTTTCGATACACTTTAAATTATTTTGATATTATTTTAAATAAATCTAATTTAATCCAACAAAATTAATTTTTTAAAATTTTATTCACTTATAAAATATAATATCATTTTATCTTTTTAATCAACATTTTATCTTTAATCAACGTGAAAATAAAAATAATAATTTAAAACACCAAAGAATTATCACTTTAATTTATTATAAAAATTATAGAAAAATCGTTAAAAATTTTTTAGCTAGAGATTAACTAATTAGGAACAGATAGAATCAAAGAACAATTTTCTATTATCTTTACATGTTTGCGTCTGTGTATGTATTTGGGTCTATGTTTGTGTGTTTATGTGTCACTGTGAGTATGTGCATGTGTTCGTGTGTGTGTGTCTGTGTGTGTTTATGTTTTTGTATTTGTGTCTATGTTTGTCTCTGTGTGTGTGTTTATGTATGTATATGTGTCTATGTTCTTGTGTGCGTGTGTGTCTCTGTGTCTATATTTGTGTATATGTGTGTCTGTATTTGTGTTTGTGTGTGTGTGTTTGTATGTCTATATGTTTGTTTCTATGTGTCTATGTGTATGTCTGTGTTTATATGTCTGTGTTTCTGTGTTTGTGTTTGTGTTTGTGTGTCTGTGTTTTTATATGTGTTTGTGTATGTATGTGTGTGTGTGTGTTTGTGTGACTATGTGTTTTTGTGTTTGTGTGTTTATGTCTATATGTCTGTGTGAGTATGTGTATCTCTGTGTGTTTATTTTTGTGTCTGTTGTTTATGTCTGTGTTTGTGTGTATATGTCTACGTATGTGTTTGTGTGTGTGTTTGTCTCTGTGTGTGTCTTTATTTGTGTGTCTGTGTATCTATATGTCTGTGTGTGTGTGTGTGTGTTTATGAGTCTATGTCTGTGAGTATTTGTGTATTTGTCTGTGTGTGTGTGTTTGTGTCCGTGTATGTGTGTCTGTGTTAGTATGTGTTTATGTGTGCCTGGGTGTATCTATGTGTTTGTGTGTGTATATTTGTATGTCTTTGTCAGTGTATGTGTGCTTGTGTGTGTGTGTGTGTGTGTGTGTGTTCATGTGTATCTATGTGTATTTGTATGTGGCTCTGTGTGTGTGTTTATGTATGGTTGTGTGATCTTTGTGTGTGCAACAAAACTGCAGTATTATACTTCAGTTCACGGAATGAGACACGTCTACTATCAATATGCATGTTTGTCTCATTGTTACACTACAAAAAAGAAGGGCATTACCGAAGGGCAGAAGCCCTCGGAAACAGCCAGAAGCCTTCGGAAAAGGGTATTTACATACGGCTTATCGACGGCCAAAGAGCCCTCGGTAAATCCCTTGTCGCTAACATTTACCGAGGGCTGAAGCCGTCGGTAATTTCCGAAGGGCAAAAGCCTTCGGTAATGACCTAACGTGGGTTGTTACCGAAGGACAAAAGCCTACGGTAAGTTGGAGGGAAATATAAAGGACAATTATATTTCTTATGAAACCAACAACACAATCAGCCTTGTATAATAGTTTTCAAGCACAAACAGACCTGCATAACAGTTTGTAAGCACATACAGACTTGCATAATGTGCATCTCAAAGATGCAATCATTGATCAAAATCCATAGAACATCCATTAATCCATAGAACATGTATTTATAGTTAAAACATAAAACAATGTAACATAATTATGTACTAACATCCAAATCATCCATTTGATCTAACATCCAAATGTAATAAACTCCAAATGTTCTAATATCCAAATGTTTCTAGAACAACTAATAACAAAATGAAACTAATAATGTACATAGTCTATTGATGGCTGGACTGGTGTGGGTTGGACTGATGAGGGTTGGACTGATGTGGGCTGCTGAGGGACAGCGGGTGAGGAGGAGGAGGGTCGTGGTTGGGTCGGAGGGATATTCAATTCATCTTGTGAAGTTTCAGGCAATACTCTCATGACCAGGGCCTTAAAGTTTGTAAACTCTGCTCTCAAATCAGTGATTTCCTGTTCACGTTGCTCCAGTGCCTGCGTGAGGCGGAGAACGACCTCGTCAGCAAGAGTGGTGGAAGAAGAAGGTTGGTGCTTCAGAGTACCTCCTCTCGATGTTGTATAGTTTGCAGCAAGTTGTCCTGCACCGTACACTCGTCTCTTTTTCTTTCCACCAACGATGTCGACCCAGCACTGTGTCCTACGGATGTCGTCTTCTGCATTACTGCCATCATCCGGTGTAGGAGCTGACTCATGTTCAGATCTAACCTGTGAAAGTCTCGTAGAAAATTCATCCTGTTGAAACATTACAAGCAATGTTAGGGAATGATAGAATAACATAAATGAAAAATTAGTAATAATAATAATGTTATTTGCTTACATGAGTCTTTCGAGATCTTTCATCAACGAATTGATTAGTGCCCTTCCTTACATGAGTCTGTGCAAAGACCTCATTAACATGGACCGCCCGTCCTAGAAGTGTACATCAGAAATACAAAATACATAACCTATATATGAAAGAAAAAGTTATGTAATGAAATTTTACCATACGAATGGCATGCTCATGAATGGTTATCGACCCACCAGTATGTAGGGTGCCACCCTTTTCAGATGCTCTGTTTCTCTGCGCCTTGGCACACTTATTGCGAAACTCTACTATATTCCAATGAGCCAGTAAAGAGTTCCAAATTTGTTCGCCCAGCCAGTAAGGGCGCTCTCCTGCATTGCGGGCATCCCTAAACATCTCTGAGAGCCGATGAGATGCTTTCATGTGGAAATTTCTTTGTATCTGTGTTTCATGTTCAGGTTTCCACTGCACCTTCATCTGTAACATTAAACTGAACAAACATTGATTAATGAACATACTAAAATAAGGATCAAACGGTTTGTTTAATGGATTGTTCACCTGAAAGCGCTCCCAGAATGGCTCTTTGTCATCATCAGGGATTACTCCCCAAGTAGGCCATGGACTTAAAAATTGTTGCTTAATTGAACGTGTGATGGCCTGGGAAGCAACCCTAGATGGAATAAACCTGGATAATAAAAGTCCTTTCAATTACAGTATGGTTTAAACATCAAATTATATGAAGAGATTAAAATCTTACCCTTTACCATACGGCTCAATCCATGGTCGATCATGGAGGGGCGGGTCAACACCTTCACCATCACCACTTGAATCTGGATCAGCATATGGTGTGACAGTCTCAGAAGGCGGTATAAAAGATGAGGAAGGTATAGAAGTAGGGTCAGGGAANACACCGTGCCACACTTCGCCTACTCCGACATCCTCGCCGCCACGAACGCTTTCTCCGCCGACACCTTCTTAGGCAAAGGCAGCCACGGCAGAGTCTACAAAGCCACCCTCCACGGCGGCGCGCTCATCGCTGCCGTCAAAAAAACCAACCCTTCTAAGGAGATAGAAATTCTCTCCCACCTCAAAAGCCCGCGCTTGGTCAACCTAATTGGCTTCTGCAACGACCGAACTAACTGCAACAATAACAAACTCATTGTTGTGGAGTATATGCCCAACGGTTCGCTCCACGACCTTCTCCACTCCACCAAAACGGTTGGGCCTCCCGGTTGGACAGCCCGTGTCCGGTTCGCGGTTCACGTCGCAAAAGCTGTTCGTTTTTTGCACTCGTCTGAACCTCCCGTTATTCACCGTGATATTAAATCGTCCAACGTGTTAATCGACGATAAGTGGAAAGCGCGACTCGGTGACTTCGGACTCGCGTTTCGAGGACACATGGCGGATTCTCGCGTGCCGCCAGCGGGGACGTTAGGGTACCTCGACCCGTGCTATCTTGCGCCGGGGGACTTGAGTCCCAAGAGCGATGTCTTCAGTTTTGGAATCTTGCTGCTGGAGATAGCGAGTGGGAGGCACGCGATTGACGTGAGGCACAGTCCGCCGTCGGTGTTGGATTGGGCGGTGCCGTTGGTCCGCCGTGGCCAGTTCCGGGATATTTGCGACCCCCGGATCGGGGTGCCGCCGAACATGGCAGCGTTCCGCAGGATGATGGTGCTAGCCGCGAGGTGTGTGACGTCAACGACGGAGAGTCGGCCGACGATTGCGGAGGTGGTGGAGTGTCTGACGGCGGTAAAGAAGAATTTTGACGCATCGCTGGTGTGGATGAGAATGATACGGCGCGTGGTGAAGGCGCGTGGCGATGATTGGGACAGGAGTGAGGAGTTTGTGAGATTAGTTAAAGGCGGGAGTAGAAAGAGTAGAAGGAATGGGAAGGTATCTAGCATGTTGGGTGTACAGTATGAGAATGGACCCGAAAATCACACGGTTAGGTCAAGATCCGTTGGTTCTGGTTTTTTCGGGGATGTGAAAATTAACTCGGTTATGGAAAGGTACCCTAACCAATTCGGGTTCGGGTATAGGAAGGTAAGGCTAAAGAGATCGATGTCTATGGGGCTTTTGAAACATTATGGTAATGAATCAAATACGTGTCATGAGAGGCATAACGATACTCATAACAATGATTACGTTAGAGTGAGTTCCACAGAGATGGAACTTTCAAAGTTGGGTATTGTGGATAAGAATTTGGACTAGAGAATCGAAGTAACTGAGTAGCATATATTGCTTTTGTGATTGAGTTTTTGATACACATGCATGGGAAGAGGGTTACCCAGAAACGATTTGGTGCATGTGGATACCACTAACACTTTAGCATCTTACTTGTCAACAGAAAAGAAATTGCTGACCTAGTCATATTAATAATAATATTCTTGATTTTGATGTCGAGGTTGTTTTTCATTTCTTACTTTGCAAATGTGTTCTTTTCCAAATTGTTATAGACCAAGAAACAAAGTAACTCTCTTCTTAATCCAGCAAGAACATAATGAATATACATACATATCACACCAACATCTCAATATAATCCAACCAGAACACTTAAATACCGTATATCACGATTACTCATGATATGCGCATATAGTGAGGGCCATGAAAGATGCGAGTGACCGACATGAGGCAACATAAACAAGATCACGACCACAAAATGAAAGAGAAACAGTGGAGCATGTCTAGCAATGACAGGCAACAAGCATAGAGCATTTAAAGCTAGATTGATTGTCTTGTGGGAAAATATAACACCCAGAAACATGTGGTTGTTATACAGTAACTGTACAGAGTCGTGAGTGTTTGGATGATATCTCTTGTTCCCTTTCCTACGGGGCTGTTATGTAGTGCTGCGTGCATTTAATGCATTTTGGATCCTTATGAACTGTCCCAACACAGAATAAGAGGTTTTTTTATTTTATTTATTCACATTTCTCTCCATTAGTGTTCAGACGCTCAGATCCACTTAGAGTCTACGGCAAAGGTAAATCGATCATTCATTTATTACAACAGGTTTTGGTTTGCATTTACCAACATTTGTCTTAGGTTGTCTAACTATCTATACTTTGTATTAATTAGTGAGACAATATTTTTGTGTAAAGGTCCATAAAAACTTACCACTATACAATCCCTTACACTTGATATGAAAAGGTTGGTAAAAAGCCTAACGTCATAAAAACAATCCAGTCTTAGATTGTTGAAACAAACGAGAATTAAAAACTTACATTTAAAGTCTAATTCGACTAATTTTATAGAGTAAATTCATCTCAGTTTTTTAGTGATTGTGTGATCTTTAAATACCCTCACGTCCAAAGTGAGCTTCGCACATCTAGTTATATATTTAAAATTTGTTTTATCTTTAATTAATTTAGAATTTTCGATACACTTTAAATTATTTTGATATTATTTTAAATAAATCTAATTTAATCCAACAAAATTAATTTTTTAAAATTTTATTCACTTATAAAATATAATATCATTTTATCTTTTTAATCAACATTTTATCTTTAATCAACGTGAAAATAAAAATAATAATTTAAAACACCAAAGAATTATCACTTTAATTTATTATAAAAAATTATAGAAAAATCGTTAAAAAAATTTTAGCTAGAGATTAACTAATTAGGATCAGATAGAATCAAAGAACAATTTTCTATAATCTTTACATGTTTGTTGTTTGTGTCTGTATTTGGGTCTATGTTTGTGTGTTTATGTGTCACTGTGAGTATGTGCTTGTGTTCGTGTGTGTGTCTGTGTGTGTTTATGTTTTTGTATTTGTGTCTATGTTTGTCTCTGTGTGTGTGTGTTTATGTTTTTGTATTTGTGTCTATGTTTGTCTCTGTGTGTGTGTTTATGTATGTATATGTATGTATATGTGTCTTTGTTCTTGTGTGCGTGTGTGTCTTTGTGTCTATATTTGTGTGTATATGTGTGTTTGTATTTGTGTGTGTGTGTGTGTGTGTGTTTGTGTGTCTATATGTTTGTGTCTGTGTGTCTATGTGTATGTCTGTGTTTATGTGTCTGTGTCTCTATGTTTGTGTGTCTATGTTTTTATATGTGTTTGTGTATGTCTGTGTGTGTGTGTTTGTGTGACTATGTGTTTCTGTGTTTGTGTGTCTATATCTGTGTGTTTATGTGTCTATATCTGTGTGTTTATGTCTATATGTCTGTGTGAGTATGTGTATCTCTGTGTGTTTATTTTTGTGTTTGTGTGTTTATGTCTGTGTTTGTGTGTATGTGTCTACGTATGTGTTTGTGTGTCTCTGTGTGTGTCTTTATTTGTGTGTCTGTGTATCTATATGTCTGTGTGTGTGTGTGTGTTTATGAGTCTGTGTCTGTGAGTATTTGTGTATTTGTGTATTTGTCTCTGTGTGTGTTTGTGTCCGTGTATGTGTGTCTATGTCAGTATGTGTCTATGTGTGTCTATGTGTGCCTGTGTGTATCTGTGTGTTTGTGTGTGTATATTTGTGTGTCTTTGTTAGTGTATGTGTGCTTGTGTGTGTGTATGTGTGTTCATGTGTATCTATGTGTATTTGTATGTGCCTCTGTGTGTGTGTGTGTTTATGTATGGTTGTGTGATCTTTGTGTGTGCAACAAAACTGCAGTATTATACTTCAGTTCACGGAATGAGACACGTCTACTATC